CTAAAAGTAGCCAAGGCATCTGTGAGACAGGTCAGTGAATGGCCTAATCCGAGACGAGTTAATGACCCGGCATTTAGCACCAAAGCAGAGGTTTCCCCATACAGTCCTCCCCAGTAGCTCACAGGAAAGCACTGTTGCTTTTTTACCATAGCAGTACAGAAACGGAAAGTATAAACATTTCTGAGTAGACCTCTCAATTCCTCTGACGCACCAGGAAAAATTATTTTTCAGATGCAGTTTCTCTCCATCACTCTCTCCAGCGCATTCTTCACCTCCTTGTTCCTCAGGCTGTAGATGAGGGGGTTCAGCATGGGGGTCACCACAGTGTAGAAAACAGAGGCCACTTTGTCGAGGTTCTGGGAGTGCCTGGAGCTGGGTCGTGAGTACATGGATGCAGCAGATCCATAGAAGAGGGTCACAGTGGTGAGGTGGGACACACACGTGGAGAAGGTTTTGTGTTTGCCCGCGGTCGAGCGCATCCTCAGGATGGTGGCCAGGATGTAGGTGTAGGAGACAAGGATGGTCAGGATGGTGACAAACAGGTTGAAGCCAACCACAGTGAACATCATAATCTCATTGACAGTGGGGTCTGTGCAAGAGATGGCGTAAAGTGGGGGGCCCTCACAGTAAAAGTGGTTGATGATGTTGGGACCGCAGAAGAAGAGCCGAAGGGCAAACCCAGTGTAGATAGTGGCATTCATGATCCCAGCAAGGTACGAGCCACCTACCAGCAGTGCACAAACTCTGCTGGACATGGAGACAGCATAGAGCAGTGAGCTGCAGATGGCCACATAGCGGTCATACACCATCACAGCCAAGAGGTAGCACTCGGTGGTGGCAAAGACTGCGTAAAAGAAAAATTGTGCAAGACACGCAGAGTAAGAAATTACATTTCTTTCTGCTAGGAGATCTGAGAGCAGTCTCGGAGTAATTGAGGAGGAATAGCAGATGTCTAGGAAGGACAGGCTGCTCAGGAAGAAGTACATGGGGGTGTGAAGCTGCACATCCAGCCTGATTAACAGGAGCATCCCCAGATTCCCCACCAGAGTGATCATGTAAATGACCAAGAAGATCACGAAGAGGACAGCCTGGACATCTCCCTGCTCTGAGAACCCCAAGAGAACAAATTCCGCACTGGGGGTGTGATTTCCTTTGGCCATCATCATGACACAGTTGCTCTAGGAAAGCGGAGATGCAGCAAAACACAGAGTCAGCATATTCCTGTTTTCCCCACAAACAAATGTTGAAGATGCATTATTTTTATCAGGAAATACAAATTTCAGAGACAAGAACTATTGAACAACTTATTCAGTGTTTGCCTCAAAATGCATTTTAAAGTAAACAAAGTACATGATTGAATTTATTTCTGATGGTTTTATTCTGGTCTAGTGGCTACTAATTTGGTTTGATAAAGTCACCGCAAATCAGAAGGCTTATTCCACCTCCTGAAGAAGTTAAGGAGTTTGTTACTCCTCTGATCCAAAGAGGTAACCATAGCAATTTATTCTGACATTAGAAATCTGTCTGCATTTATAAAACAAACAAACAGACAAATAAACAAACAAATAAACCCCAAAACAAATTAAAAAACAAACAAAAAAAAAACCACACAAAAAAACCCCCCACCCTTGTTTCAAAAGATTGAAAGAGAGAAAGGACTGGTGAGAGATCACGACATTCTTTAAATAATTTTCTTTAGGAGAGATCAAGACATTAAATAATTTGCTTTAAAAGAGTCAGAACAAGTTGAAACAGAACTCTAATTTCTTCCCTTCCTTCCTACAAAACTCTGAAATTAAGTTTGAAACAGGAGATTTAGTGTAAGTATTAACCCCCTGATAAATATGCTGAAACCCGTATCATTCTTGTGATGCCACTGAACTGAGAAAAATATTGGAAACAATTTTAAAAGACTGATACCAGTTAAACCCCAACAATGCTACACTTCCATTATGAACTGGGGGGAGTAAGATGCTGATAATGTGGGGGGTTATTCAAAAGAAAAAAAAAAAAAAAAAAAAAAAAGTAAAAGTAGGTTCATGTCTCCTTAAAACAGGAGTTAGGAATAGTCACAGAAATTGCTCACTGAGGGGTTTTGAACTGTTAAATAAGATACCAAATGATACCCTTGGAAAGGTCCCTTCTGCATGAGGAAAGTTCAACACTTGCTTGACTTACACATGAGCCTCTCTTAAATCTGGATTTAGTCAAACAAATTTTTATATTTCTTCCTAGAATTCAGTCAGTTGCAGAAACCTTCACACCCCTCTGAACCAGTTTGAAGTTTGCCAGATAACTCGGGTAGTGCTTCTATGCTGCTGTTAGGTGTTGGAAACATGAGAAAAGCAAAACGGTGAGAAATCTGTGATCTTCACAGCAGAGCAAACAGACCATGTGCCATCAGTCCTCTTATCTGCTTTGCGTAAAAGGTTTGAGATAAACCAGAACTCGAGGACAGCAAGGGGTTTTTACCGCCACCATAACATGTCTCACACCTCCGACGCTTTGCAGAGCTGCCTCATCAGCTTTTCCAAGCTGCTGCCCCCTCCAACCCCTGGACAATAATTAGGAATCCCAGTAATCTTGATTAAAGTAATCAGATGAGATTGAGGGGCTGCTGACCTCTGGCAGTGCCTGTGGATCTCGGTTGCCTTTACTCATGGCCTCAGCTAGAGGCTGCCTTAAGTTTGGAAAAGCAACTTAGAAATGCCTGGGCTTCACATGGGATATCCTGACCTCAGGTGACTGTTTCATGTGAAAGCAGGCTCATGCCTAAAGTCCTCCTGTTGCAACAGGCCAACCCTCTGTAATATTATTTAGACTAAAACTCACCTGTTTGCTCACATCTCAGGTTTTGGTTTATCAGAAACGTGTTATCTCCTAGACAAAAATTACATCTGAGAAATAAACCCCAATTTCTCCCAGTGTTGGTGTTAAAAGCAAAAAAAGACTTGCCAGTCATGAAGGCCATAAATAGCTGACCAAGAAAAGCCTCTGTTTATAGGCTTCTTTCACTGAAGGCCAAGAGTTTTGTCGCTGCCCTCCCCTTGGTGTCATGCAGGAAATTTCTCTTGGGAATTGATGACTTGGGAAACAGCTCCTTAAGGAGGAGACATGCACTGATAAATAAACACAATTAGTTTTAGCAAGTTAAATGTAAGCTTGAATACTTTTTCTCATTTATATATGTATAAAGAATTTATATATATAAACTTATCTCTTGGAATATGTAATTTATCTCTTGGCATCACGGAGAATTAAAAAGAACTGGCAAAAGAAATAGAGATTCAAGGATTAGGAAATAGCTCAGGATGTGGAGAAGCGTTGCAAATTCTATTGATGAGAAAAGAAAAACTATTCAGGAACCCTTCTGCTGCAATTTGTTTTAATGTTATCTGGGACATCCTGTTGTTTAAAGACCCACAGAGTTAGATCCAGGCATCTGAGAGAGTCACAGCCAGGTTCATGGAGAAAAGTTTCTATTTTTTTTTCTCTTAAAAGAACAAAATGGTACTTGTATCTGTAATTAGATCTTCTAGGGAATTATTTCCTATCCATCCATGAAAAAATGTAAGACTTCCTTCGGGAAGTTAGTATCTGGCATTAGTGACCTTTATATCAAAGCAAAAGCATAGCTCTGACACTATCTTCATCCGTTTTGCTTTTCTGTTCTTTCCAGAAAGTGTTTTGTGATGCTGAGCTGCATTACTGATTAAAAGCTAGTTTCATCTCATTTTTGAAGGACTCCAGAACACCATCATGGTGAGCTGAAGCTTTCCCCTTAGGCTTAAACTGACTCTTCAGACTATGCCCCAAGTGTGACTGCTCTGACTAAAATCCACTTTTGCTGTGTAGCTGTGTCAACCATCACCCTCCGCTGCCAAGCAGCAAGCAGAGAAAACCATGCAATTTTTCCAGAGAAATTCATCTCACCCCGATGTTTAATATAGATGAGATGAATCAAAGCCCCCAAATGCATCATTCTCTCCATAAGGGGAACCTATGGTGAGTAATTCAGATGTGAAAGCCTGCGCTTAGATAGGACGACTCCTGGACCAAGATGACTCAACCCCTGAAACCTGGAAGAAGAAATTATGAATAAGCTGCAGCTGCATTGGAAAATAAACTTTGCCTGGATAGAGACACAGAAGGAGGAGAGGAGATGGTGGGAGAGTTTTGGACAACGCTGAGTCTCAGAGCCATCAGACAAGTTGGGTGCTTCTGACTACAACATATGGCCAGAAGTGTGGAGGCTTTCTGTGTTTTCAGCACCAGATGACACCCTGGGAAAAGCCAGGATTGCTCAGACAGTGTCTTGAAAGACTGTTCTGGACCAAGTTGAGTGACTGTCACAGGATAAAACTCCACCTTGCTCCTAGGCAAAGGAACGTGTCAGTATGGTGTCTCCAGGCTGGTAGCTCTCCATGGGGGAAGACCCATCCAGGAAAGCAAGATGCCCAGTGCAGGTGGCCTGTGTGCAACATATATATATAGCATGGGAATGTGCTATCCTCCCATAAAGACTGTTCTTGGACATATCAGATAAAATACATAAAAACCATATCAGATAAAATCAGCTTTATTGTACTAAAGCAAAACCTTAGCAACTCCTTAGAATATTTGACAACATTTATGAAAGACATTGTCCCTCTCCAATATGTAGTCTTTATGTAGCTTGTCCCCTTCTGCTCCGAGCCAACTCTTAGAATTTAATATTTTTTTAACATTGAGTAAATCCTCTTTGGTAAAAAGTATCAACTGTGCATGTCCTAGAGCTGATTACAAGTTCATTTACTCAAAAAGTTTCACTGACAATGTAAGTGTTTTTAGGATTGTCTGTCTTTCCTGCACTCTTTCCTTCTTTCAGACGGTGTAACTACAGGTAATTTATTTTACAAGGGACCTCAACGTGGAATTAATTCCTAATTCAAACTCTGCAGTGTTCAGCACAAGGTAGAGCATGTACCAGATATGCAGAAATGTACAGTGCCCTTCTTCCATCAGGTGTTAGTCTTATTTCCTCTGCTGACTCCATTGTGGCAAGTGATATCTGCTTTGGTTTGGTTAGAATGGGATCTGTGGGAATATATGGAGGAGAGGAGCTTGTTCGTAGCTCTCCTAAGGGTGCTCCTCACCTCCTTGTTCCTCAGGCTGTAGATGAAAGGGTTGAGCATGGGGGTCACCACAGTGTAGAAGACAGAGGCTGTTTTCCCTTGGTCTTCTGCATGTCTGGAAAAGGAATGGAAATACAAGAAAGCCGCAGAGCCATAAAAGAGGGCAACAGCCATGAGGTGGGAGGCGCAGGTGGAGAAGGCTTTGTGCCTGCCCTCCGCAGAGCGGATGCTCCAGGTGGTGAACAGGATGCAGGTGTAGGAGATGCCAATGGCCAAGACTGAGGTTGTTATGATGAAGCCAATGCATGAGGCCATCACCACCTTGTTGAGCCAAGTGTCAGAGCATGAGAGCAGCAGGAGCGGTGGGATATCACAGTAGAAGTGATTGACAAGGTTTGAGCCACAGAAAGAGAGTTGCAGGAGAGTACTGGTGTGCACGAGAGCATTCAGGCTCCCAGCAGCATAGGAGCCCACCACCAGCTGGACACCGACTCTATGGGACATCGCAGCCAAGTAGTGCAGAGGCTCACAGATGGCCATGTAGCGGTCATATGCCATGACAGCCAGAAGGATGGCTTCTGTGGTGCCAAATACTGCAAAGAAGAAAAACTGTGTGATGCAGCCATTGAAAGAAATAATATTTCTCTCTGCAAGGAAGCCCAACAGGAGCTTTGGAGTGATGGATGAAGAACAGCAGATGTCTAGGAAAGAGAGGTGGCTGAGAAAAAAGTACATGGGCACATGAAACTGAGAGTTGGTCTTGATGAGGACAATCATCCCCATGTTCCCCACCAGCGTCGTGATGTAGATGAGTAAAAACACCACAAAGAGTAGCTCCTGCAGATTAGTGAAGCCCAAGAGAACAAACTCGGTCACACTTGAGTGGTTTCCCCCGGCCATTCTCCTGGTGACAGCACAGAGGAGACAAAGAAACACGAGGAAGAGGTTAAATAATTTCTTCCAGCTCACAGGAATATGAAGTCCCTGAGGCTAATGCAGGATTTGATGTTTCCTGGATGAATGCACCCACCCATTTGGAGAAAAAATATTATACTTATCCTCAATAGGCAGGTTGAAGATTCAAAATATGTTGAAAAAATAATATACTGACAAAATAATAGCCAATAGTTCATATATGGAAAAAAAGTCTTAAAGCTTAAATCTTAAAGCTCTGGCTGGCCCATTATGGAAAGATTTGGTCTTGCAAAAGATCTTGAAAATTATATCCTCTCATGAACATCCAAATTCTTTCCAACTTGTAGGCAAGTTTGGGAGGATTTCTTTCCCTTTGTTGGGAAGGATGTTCTTATTTAGGGACAAGTAAATACAATAATATCCTGCCTTCATTTGCTATATTAATTAGTGTTGCATTAAATAGATAACAAACCACACTGGAGTGATTTTCTGACTCTGTAGTGATATGTTTGGGTCAATTAAAACGAGACCAGCATGCCTGATTGCAATATCATGTACGTGTAGCCTCAAGGGACAACCACCTCCTTCTAATCTGAATTATACTTGCATGTCATCTTCCTTGCGTCTCTTGGATCTGCCAATGTCAGGAATTTTTATCCAAAATTTGAGTTAGGAATTAAGATTCAGACGGACAGGAGTATGCATTTTTTCCTTCAGGAAGGACCTGAATAACATCGATATTGCTTCATGCAGAGGTTCCTGCAAGGAGTGGACATACCAGTTAAGGAAGCCCTTCCCCATCCAGCAAAAAATCGTCTCAAAATCGTCTCACCCTCTCTCTGGTCAGTGGCATCACAAGTCATTCTCAGAGAGATACTCACTGGTCCTTGAGCTGAAGTTAACACACACGCTCCATCCGCCCTTCAGAAACCAGGAAGGTTTCCCTATTACATCCTCTAACGTGGCTGGAAGATTTAAGTTTTACCCCATGCCCACAGGACAAATTACCAAAGGGTCTCTGAGGCACCTGAAAACAGAGCAAGCCTTCCCCAGAGAGCCTGGGATAAACACCGAGATCTTTCTCTCTGAGGTTTGAGGGACAGGATACCCAGGGCACATCAGAAATGATGCCTGCAGAGCCTGAGCAATTCAACTTGTGTACCCAACATTGTAATGAGGAGTGAAACACAAGGCAGTGCATTTTTGCTGAAGCCTTGAATTTGAAAGGGTTTTTTTTATTCTTCAGGAATATGGGAGGAAAAAAAAAACTGTTAACACTAATGTATTAATTTAAGGAAAATATTGCTTTATATTTGCAGTGATTAGTTAGATTTGTTTTCTTTTGTACTATATATTTCCATAGAGCAGATGTGAAAATATTAAAGAAAAAATTGGATCAAAATGCAGATATCATTTGACATTATGCTGTCTTTCCCCCTCTCCCCCAAGATAACTTGTCATTTTCCAACTTGTACATGTTCTTACACCACACTGCTTCCCAGGAGATGGAGTCTCAGAGCATGTCCTATAAGCAGCATTTGCAGGGATGCAGCTCGGAAAGCCTGTCTCCAAGGGTAGGATGCATCACCCATATATATGTCGGGACAGTGAACTCAGACTTGGGCAGCTGTCTTCTAGACATTTGCAATTAGGTGGATGAATTCCAATTAGTACTTTTTCCTTTTTTTCCTCCTCTTGTTCTGCTACCCATCTGCTGGTCACACACTTTAGTGTTCAGTCCCACTGTAATTTTACCTTGTATGTTTTTCTTCCTCTGTTCTTATTCATAGGTTTGGGTTGGTTTTTTTTAAAAAAAAAAAAAAAAAAAAAGACTGCTTTTCATGTTATCCACTAGAGATGACCTTAAAATTGCCTGTCTGAGAAGTGCCTGTTACTATTTATTCCCTTCTCACTTCCCTCTTCCTATCACCCTTGCTATCTGTTTTCTAGCACCAGCAAGATGACCATTTCTTAATGACAATTCCTCTTCTCCCATCACCCTTCTCAAAGCAGCTCTTACTTCCCCATTCCTTGAGAACAGGTCAGAGGTTCATTACAGAAAGCCCCTTGACTCACTGTCAACACTCTTCCCAGGGCGTCGGTGGGCATCATCGCTGCAAGGACGTATTGATGGCTCATTATCAACTTGGTGGCCACCACAACCTCCACATCCTTCTCTGCCAAGCCGCTCTCCAGCCTCTCCTGGTGCTTCCCAATGGGCAGGACTCAGAATTTTCCCCTTTTTGAAATTTGTGTGATACCTATCTGCCCATTTTGGACAAAAAAGCTGCCTTTGAAAACCATTTTGCATCATGTGCTTCACAATTCAAATCTCCCCAGGACAGACATTTGGTCCTTGTAAAAGCAGGAAAGGAAACTGGTAGTGTGACATGTTCCTTGTAGAAAAGAGCAGCTGGCTGCAGACAGGTTTATGCTAAATTGCTTTATCACCTTTAAACAGGTTCAGGAGATCCAGCTGCAGACATCTACACCCACCTTGGGCAGGGGGAAGAAAGAAACTGCTGTTTCCCATTGCTAATGCCTCACACACTGGGTGGCCATCTCCTCATCCTCATTAATTTCCTTCTTCATCTTGGGTGGTATTTATGTCACTGCATGTAGACATCTCAGACACACACATTACACCTGACAACATCCAAACCAGCCATTCTCAATGCCACTGATAGTCTGTATAGTAAAACACCATCCATCCCATCTCAAATATCCAGATTTTATGGCACACAGAAACATCCCTTCCCTGGGGTGTCTGCCTTAGATGCACATGCTGACACTGCAGGTGTCTAAAGTCAGCTTAGTCCTGCCCCATGTGTCTCTCTGTCCTTGCTCAACCAAGCCTTCCACTTTCCTTCTTTCTCAAGAAATGTGGAAAATGCAAATTTCTCTTTCCTGGGTTCAAAATGTCTTCCAGAGACATGAATAAAGACAGACACAGAGAGGAACTTATGGGTGCTTGGATAGAGTCTCCTTGCTTTTTCCACCAGGACCTCAGGAGGGCTTTTTTGCTCCAGGGCAGTAACTGTGTCTAAACTGAGTCGTTATAAACGTCTTTTGAAAATGAGAGATGTCTCGGCCAACAACTTTAAAGAGAGTAAGGCCAAACCATGACCCTCCCTTTCATCACTGTACTAAGGAGAACTGAAGATAGTTTGGTTTCCAGCTAGCCTGGAGAGAAAAGGGTTGTGCTCCACATTCCTAGTTCTTCTCACATATCCAGATGACACACAGTGGAGAGGAGTTAGCCCCAGTGCAGGATTTACATATCTGCAAACCAAAGCCTTCAACTCCTTTTTAATCAAAAAGGGAAAAAAAAAAAAAACCTGCTTCCATGCCTTTTTCACCCACCAGCTAGAGGAGACCTCCAGAAGGGGATTCATTTCACCCTCCTTTATATTCAGCTCGTATTAATACCCAAATCCAAGCGTCTGTCGTTACCTATTTGTGAGCTAAGGCCTCGTTATAGCTAACGCAATGTGGCTGATACAATCAGCACAGTTTATTGATCTCTTCAGCTGACAAAATGTAGGTGTCTGTCTCGCAGCCAGCCACACCAGACCCCACTAATGGACTTGACCAAATCTTTTTTGGACATAGAGCCCACGTACCCAGTCAATGCGTAGAGGTGATGTGGTGTTTATTTAATGTTAAGGAGATAAGTCCTCCCCCTAAAGATATTTGAGGTGATTCCCAACTCTAATCACTAAGTACCTAAACAAGGGGAGGTGGCTGCTCCCCCTGCGATTGCAGCGTTTGCTCAGCTCTCTCTTTAAAACAGATTTAACTAGAATTAGGGCAGCTCTGCCTGAAAGCAAAGCCTAGCTGGCTCCAGTTAAACTCTGAGGTGCAGCGTGTGCTTTCTGCAGGGGAGCCAGAGGACAGCTTCAGACACAAGACCCCAAACACACTATAACTATGGTGTTAAAACAGTTTCGAGCGCTTTATTTCTGATTTCTTAAGTAAAATGAATTCCAGATGGAAACTCATTTGTATGTAGAGTCCTGGAGCAATTAACATGACACAAAGATGAGCTTGAACACCTTTCTGAGGATGTAGCTGTATCAGCTCCTGCCCTTTCAGAGGAGTGGAGCTCCAAAGCAATCAGTGACTATCAGGGTGAACACAAAATGAGATGCAAGGTGCCAGCCGTGCCACTGCCTGTTCATCATGACCCACCAGGAAAGGGAATTGCAATGTTGGATGCTTCCTCTCCCCTCTGTAACTCTCCTCCTGGAGCCACGCAGGGTATTTCCCACCCTTCATGGTCTGACCCCACGGAAGGCAGCGAGGCCGTTAGACACAGCCAACCGCTGGTTTCCTAAAACCAGCAAGCATCGCTTGCACAATGAGCAAAAAGCTTTTGGTTTTGAGAGCAGCAGCTCCAGCAGGAAGCCACAACGAGCAGAGCAATAGTGTTGTAGCCACGGACTTGTGCTTTAAAGCCACTAAGAGCTCATGTTCCTGTTTAAACACTGGGTGATGGTGAAGGCAAGACCAGCTGGACACGAAGTTATGGAATATTGTTGTATCTAACATATTGCCAAATAACAGCTGTAGGTCACTGTAGCAAGAAGAGATGCTCTGGGACAGCAAATAAAACATCAAAAATAATCTTGAGTCTTTTAAATATTTAAAGAAAAAGGTGGCACTCTTCCCTAAATTAAACAGCATCCTGAGGGTGACAGTTGCAGAGGTGCAGGAGTTTGGGAGAACAGCAGGAGTTGTTCACAGTAGGTCCTGATGAACACATCTGGAGACATGTGAGATGATGAAGAGAGGGGAACCTTGCTCACTACGGCTGTGTCCAGGTTCTCGTTGTCATGAAACGGGTAGTCAGCATGTCACATGAAATAACTACGGCTAAGTGCAGTTTTGTAACTCGTTTCAAGGACGAAGAAAGGATGCATGGAGAAATTAATTCTTTGTGACCTGATGCCACCAGCAAGTGCCCTGTGTGCTTCATATTGCAGATGAAGGTAGATCTGAGACTTTCTATCATGAATTTGCAACATGGGAAGTTCCAGTTAGAAACAAAGGGAGGGAAAAAAAAAAAACCAACACCATAAGGGTAGTCAAACACTGAAATGAGGGCCAGGGAGCGTGTGAAACCTCGGTTCTGGGTGGTTCCCAAGGCTCAGCAGGACAACGGGGTGTGAGCTGGCCCTGGCTGGTGTGTGTGGCTGTCCCAAGGGGGGGGGGGGGGGAGAGCACAGCCCCTCCTGGGCAGGTCGACCCCAACAGCAGCACAACTGATAAGAGAGGAACGGAGCGCAAACAGCCTGTGAGGACATTTGCCCCAGGCTGACAGCACTAGCCAGGCAGCCGACCGTTGGCTGGATTAAATAATAACCAGAGAATCATCAGAAAGCTTTGGGAACAAAGAACAATTCAGCTGATTGACCCTTGGTGCCCGTTAGTTGTGTGTCATTAATAAATCAGCAAACTGCTTTGATCCTGACTTGATTTAATCCAGCTGTGCAGCTTCTCCCTCCAACCCAAGGGATTACCTGTCTCTAGGCTAGTGCTAAGGCTAAGCCGCCTCTCCAGACTTCCCCACGGTCCTGAAAGAGGCTGTGGTCTGTACGGAACTGAGGTAATACACAAATGGGAGTATTTCTGCTTTTCTCATGTATGCAACACTTGTGCGCCACCCGGCAGATCTCTCTGAGAGAAGGTGGCAGGAGGGACATCAGGGCAGGCAATGGCATTGGTCCAGGCTGCATGGGCTACACCATATTTATACCATATATATATTTATTACATATACATAAAAATACCATATATTTATTTATACCATAAATAAATACCATATTTAACTTAAACTTTTAGCTGTCTAAAATTAAATCAGGTGTATGATGCTGTTAATCATTTAATGAGGTCTGAGTATGAAAAAGAAAAAAATATTTCCTTCATAGCTTACCAGCTATTGGCAGTCATCTCTGTTTTTCCTGGTAATGGTGTTGGCATCCCGAAGCCAATTATTATGGCCCTTAATGTCTTGAAATGGAATTTCATTTAGTGGGATAGTAGAATTCACCCCCTGCTTATTCTGATTTGCTAAGCAAAAGGGAGAGCAACATGACACAGCTCGTAATTGAGTCCAGCAAATTGTAGACATTTTTGCAATATTCTTCTGGTTTAATTTGGCCTGGGTTGAATAACTGGTAAAGGGGAAAATTTAAAATGAGAAGTGCATGCTTGTAGTTCTCTACCTATGTCTTCATTTGGTTAAATTAACTACTAAATATAATTATCAAGGAGAACTGAAATTATTAATATCCTGAACCAGATGAGGATATTGAATCAGCCAGTGAAGCTTCTAAATCAAAGTGCTAAAGAGCCCCAAAATGTTCTGAGATATTTAATCAAAAGCTGAGCCTATAATCTACATCTTCATTCTGTCTGGCTATAAATTTACAACATTCGAGATAATTTTATTTTTGTGAGTCTCCTCAAAGCCTCCTTCACATCCTTATTCCTCAGGCTGTAGATCAAGGGGTTCAGCATGGGAGTCACCACAGTGTAGAACAGTGCAGCCCATTTATCTTCTTTTGAGCTGTCTGAGCTGGGCTTTAAGTACATAAAAAGTGATGTCCCGTAGAAGATGCTCACAGTGGTGAGGTGGGAGGTGCAGGTGGAGAAGGCTTTGCGCTTGCCATTGGCTGACCTGATGCTCAGGATGGCGGAGATGATGGCCATGTAGGAGACCAGGATAACCAGGCCACTGGACATACCAAAAAAAAGTGCTAAAGTTCTTAGGATATTGTGGCTGAGGGTGGTGTTGGAGGTTGAGAGTGATATCAGAGAGGAAATGTCACAGAAGAACAGGTTGATGACACTGGAGCTGCAGAAGGATAAATCGGACATGCTGATAGTCTGTCCTATGCCATTTGTCAACCCCATGAGGTATGACCCAGTCACCAACTGGAAACAGCATTTTGGGGACATGACAAGGGGGTAAACCAGGGGATGGCAAATGGCCACGTAACGGTCATACGCCATTGTAGCCAGCAGGAAGCATTCGGTTATCCCAAAAAGATCAAAAATGAACACCTGAGCCACACACCCAGCATAAGCAATGCCCTTCTTCTCCGATACAAAGTAAACCAACACCTTGGGGGTGATGACGGTGGAAGAACAGAGGTCTACAAAAGCCAGGTTACCCAGGAAATAATACATGGGGGAGTGGAGCTGAGGGCTGGCCGTAATTAACACAATCATCCCAAGGTTGCCCAGGATGGTGGCAAGATAGGTGAGCAGAAACATCAGAAAGAGGGTTACCTGAGTCACCAGGTTCTCTGAGAACCCTGTTAAGCTGAACTCAGTTGCTTGGGTGCAATTGTTCTCTGCCATTAGTTGGGTGTGTGAAGGAGTTCTGCGTGAACTCCTTGCTAAAGGTTTCTTGTACAACAGGCAGGTGGAAAAACCTCTCCCCAGTAGGACCTGCTTGGAGACAATCATACAAGATCTAAAGGAAGAGTTTAGGCGCAGACCAATTAGAAACAACTTGCCAGAAGTCACAGTACACTATGGGTAGAACAAAAGGGTTGCTGCAAAAGCAAAGCTTTGCTCACGCTGCAAAATGCTGTGGCACAGTGTGGTGCGTGGTCCCCTGGCTCACTCCTGGATGTTCAACAACGACCTTCATGAAAAGCCGTAGGGAAGTTACACACCCGAGTAGGCTTTACCTTGGTGCTGCATTTCATCCCCTTCGTTAGTATTCAGCCTGGGACTCTGAGACCATCCAGCTCCACCTGAAACACAGAAACACAGTGCTGTTACAGCGCAGAGTTGACTATTCACCCTCCCATAGGCATATAGGCATTTGCCAACCACTCGCTTCCTCTCTCTTTGATGGGACTTCTTCCTAGCTACGAAACCTTACACAGAAGTTTATATTTGTTTCCCCTTCCTCCTGACACACTGTGTCAGCTATAAAAACTTCTCCTGGGTCTTTAGACTGTTCCTAGAGTCTTCAAAAGGAAATGGGTAATCCCCAAAGGTGACCATTCTCTCCTTGAAAATATTTTTGGGGAAAAAAAATCTTTTAGACCTGGTTTATGTCAGCAACAGTAAGCTGCCTAAACGTTTTTTACAAGAAAGCTCCTGGTCCTCATCCAGGAGCCCTCCCTGGTCAGTGGGGAGAGGAAGCCTCCTGAGCGTGCTCTCCACAGGGCGATCTCCAGACTGCCCTTCTCAGCAGTTGTGTGATGAGGCTACAGGACATGCAGATCCTTGGTTTTGGTGGAAAGTCCAGAGTATCGTAAAGAACTGAAGCCCAGGACCCTGCAGGTAGGGCATGAGATGAAGGTAGCAGCTGTTTCTTTTTTTTGCAAGAGAAAGCTACAGGGGATGGTGGCTCCGCACGCACTGTCCTTGCTCGTGGGTCTGGTACGGGGAGCTCCAGCTTGGGCTGAAAGATGATGACCCTTACTTACATCTCAGGACTATCTCTGCTTCCCTCCTGATGCTCTTGGAGATGGATGTGAAGATGCGTCTGCCTGAAGCTCTGTAGGGGAGCTTGAAAATAAACCACTGTCAGCAAACACCCTTACTATTTCACACAGTTTGGGGATTTGGGGACTGTGAATCCATTTGAGCCCCAGGAGAGTGACAAAGCCCAGAGCAGGTCATTATCTTTTCTCTGTGCTTCTTAGTTTGGAGAAAGTGTACCCGGAGGAGATAACCTCAGCTTGAGTGAGCAACAGGGCTTTGGGCTGTCTTCAGAGCAAACCACAGAACAACACCCCATCTTTCCTGTCCAGTTTTTGAGCATTTCAGAGACATTTACAGCTCCACAAGTGACATGTTTGACATTATCCTGCGACCTCACCGATGGGCCACACAGTCCCACAGGAGCTGATCCAGGGCTGGTAACAGGGTCCATCAACAGTCCCAGGCACCATGGATGATGAACGACCTTCTACCCATCTTAAATTCCTTATACTCAAACCGTAACTCACAAGTTTGGCTGAAAGAAGCCAACAGAAGATGGTGGTAAACTTGCTAAAGTTGAAGTAAACGCTGTCCACTGCTTTTCTTTTTGCCCACACTGCCATCAATCCTCTCATCACCCAAGGCACCCAGGTTGGTCAAGCATGACTTACCCTTGATAAATCCATGCTGGCTACTCATGGTCACCCTCCTGTTCTTCCTCTGCCTGGAGAGGGCTTCCAGGATAGGATTTGCTTCATAATCACGCTGGGGACTGAGGCAGCCTGCACTCCTTCTGCCCTCCTTCTTGATGATGACCTCTAACTTCTTCCATCCATCATGCTGGAAACTCATCAGCCACAAGGGAAAACTGAGAATGTGAGGGAGAGGTGCCCAAAACTGGCAGGAACGTGATGGGAAGGATCAGATGGGGAGCATGGTAAAGGACTGAAAGGGGCAGCAAGAGGGGAAAAGCCCCTTTTGAAAGGATGAAGGAAAGCTCAAGGGATGGCCCTGTTTCTGGTGGTTCTGATGGAGGCTCCCAAGCCCAATGGGAGATGCAGGGTACCTCTTTCTACAGCCTTTTCACAGCCAGCAAAGGTGAGTGCCAAGGGCAGCAGAAACCACTGTGGGATAAGGTCAGACGTATTTTGCAGAATGGGAATTAGCTTAGACACAGAAAGCCGTGACCCACAACTTTTGCTGAGCACCGAGTGGGGCAGCAGGCTGAAACATCTCAAATACCAAAGGAAAGTGAATGTCATGCAGATTCCCATCAGAGTTCACCCAGATACTGGCTGTTCCTCTGCTCTCGGCAAGGAAAAACTGTTCAAAGCGGTTAGACATCACCTCAGACACCAACAATTGGTGTTTTAGACATGGAGCTAGAGGCTGCCTTTCCCTGACAGCGCACCGGTGTGAGCAAAACCCCACAATCCAGGCAGCGTTTGGGGTTTAAAACCCTTCCAAGGCTACATTCTCACCTGCTCTTTTCTCTCTAGGAGAAAAATCAGCTACAGGAGCTATGGTGTGAGGTCTGGTCCTGCCTGAGGCAGAGCCCCTTCCATCCTCCTCCCTGCTGTCAGTGCTGCCTCTCGCACCTTCTCATCTCCTCGCTCGATACCGGCCCTGCGGCCATGGCCCGGCTGACAGCGGGAGATGGATGGGGCCAAGCCGGCACCGCAGGGCGTGGGACACGTGCAGGGATGTGACGGATGCAGGGGGGCTTGGGGGAAGATGGTCTCTCCCTGCTTTGCAACAGCCTCGGTCCCAAAACCCAGCGCTGCCCACGCAGCCCCCATGGCCCCCCTCAGAGTACAGGGGCCAGAGGGTTTCCTCTCCCCTACGATGGCTGCGGGAAGGATTTAAGCGCTGACCCCAAAGCATAAGTGAAGGCTGAGTACAGGTTAGAGAAAAGAGCCTGGTCTGTGCAAAGCAGGGAGGGATTTCAGCCCTTGCCCAGTGCCACCATCAGTGGGGTACCACTGGGGACAGAAAGCCATCAGCATCTCTGTGAGGATGTTCCCTGTTCCTTCTAGATCCATCCCAGAGCCCCAACATCCCTCCTCCCGCCCAAATACACACCCATGACGTGCAATATGATGGTGCCCATGGCCCCATTGCCATTTGTAGGGGAGCAGGGGGGCTCTGGAGTAGCCTCTCTTCTTTCTGCCCCCCCCAGCCCTGTGTCTGTCCCTCCCCACAGGCATCCCTTGCCCCTGCAGCACCAGCTTGTGCCCATCCATCTCCCACTGTCAGGCCGGTATTGAACATCACGATGGCAGGCGCAGGGTGGAGGGGGCTCAGCCCCGGGGGTCCCGGGACAGAGACGAGACCAGCATTTGAGATGGGGGGAAGCAATTTTCTCCCCTCTCCTCCACGGGGGGGGGCACAGAGGCTTTGCACAAGCAGTCAGAATATAGCGGATGCCTCAACACCTCGGCGTGATTTTTAATACCAGGTGCTGATGGCGGGCTGTCGGCTGAGCCACCAATGCACAGGCAGCTGCCCTGTGCCAAGAGGGGTTTTGCCCAGGGAAGAGGGTTGGAGCAGCCCCTGTCTCCCCTCGCTCAGATGTGTGATGTGAAGGGGACAAGGGGACCCCAAGAGAGCTGTCCCTCCCAGCCCAAGGTACCCCAAGAGCCAGCTGGGGACCAGCGGTGGTCCCAGTAGTCCCAGGGTGACCACTCGCCTCCTGTCCATCATCATCGTGTCAAGGCATGAAGACAGGTCGGGGAAGGGGGCCGTGCTCCGGCAGCTGCGTCTCCACCCCCTGAGCTGGGGCATAAAACCCCCGACAAACCGCGGGAAACAGTCTGGAGCTGGTGCTGCACAGGGAAGGGGCTTCGTTGGGGTCCCCGATGCCGCCGTGCTGAGGGACGGAGCCACGGACACCTCCTGCCCACCCACTGCACCCATGGCAGGTAAAACCCACCGGCGGTAACACTCCCCCATACCCAGCAGTGGGGTCCCGCAGTGTTTTCGGGGTGCAGTGGGTCATCCAGCCGCACAAGACAGTGGGGTGAGAACAGGGAGGGGGATAAAACCCATTATAGTTGGGGCCAGGACTCCCCCGGTCCATCTTCACGGAGGGAGGACGCGATGGGGTGGTTGGTGGGGTCTGCTCCCACGTCTGGAGTGCAGGATCAGGCCCTCCCCAACATTCCCTCACCCCCTTTACAGCCTTCCTGGGGGGGCCGGGCGAGGGCCCCCCCTGCAGCACCAGCCTGGGGTGGGCAGGCGAGGGGCTGGGGACTAGCGGCAAGAACCGGCGTGTGTGTCACGCTGCGGCACGGCTGGAGATGGGCAGCCTCTGGGAGGAGTTCAACCGCCTGGGCACCGAGATGATTGTCACCAAAGCAGGCAGGTAGGTACCAGAGCAGGGCAGGGGGTTTGTCAGGGTGGGGGGCACCCCCTTCCCACCTCCCTTTCCCTGCAGGAGGATGTTCCCCACCTTCCAGGTGAAGCTGTCGGGGCTGGACCCATTGGCCGACTACGTCCTGCTCATGGACTTCATCCCACTGGATGACAAGAGATACAGGTGTGGATGAGGATGATGGGGAGGGGGGGTGGCCTGATCCTGGTGGTGCTGAGTCCCCCTTGCCCCACAGATATGCCTTTCACAGCTCCTCCTGGCTGGCGGCAGGACGGGCTGACCCCGCAGCCCCCGGCCGCGTCCACTTTCACCCCGACTCCCCAGCCAAGGGGGCCCAGTGGATGCGGCAGATCGTCTCCTTTGACAAGCTCAAGTTGACCAACAACCTCCTGGACGACAACGGCCATGTGAGGACCCAGCCCTGGGGTGGGCACAATGTACCCCCTGTATAGGGGCATCCTGCCCACCTCCCCCTCTCCCCACCCCCCCAGATCATC